CTATCAGGATCAATACTATCAGGATCAATACTAACTATCAGGATCAATACTTACTACCAGGATCAATACTAACTATCAGGATCAATACTAACTATCAGGATCAATACTAACTATCAGGATCAATACTAACTATCAGGATCAATACTAACTACCAGGATCAATACTAACTATCAGGATCAATACTAACTATCAGGATCAATACTAACTACCAGGATCAATACTAACTATCAGGATCAATACTAACTATCAGGATCAATACTAACTACCAGGATCACTGAGAGGACTGACTGAAGCACAGAGGATGCTTCAGGCTGACTTCACTGTGTTGACTAAAGATGTTTAACATGTGATCTTAAAGGTGAGGGAGCGGTCCCTGCCCCTCTTGAGGGAGTCCCAGTCCCTGCTGCCCCCCCTGGAGGAGATGGAGAGGAACATCTCAGGTTTCTACCAGGCTCTGGAGAAGGCCAGTCACATCACAGGGACCCCCAGCCCGGAGGGGGGGGACTTCAAGATCAAGTGCCAGGTAAACAACTAAAGGGGGTTAAGAGGACATTCACTCAGACACTGAGTGACACTCTGAGAAAAGTGTTAAAAATGACCAAAATAAAAATAAAATCTGAATAAGTCAACTTTAAAAAAGAAGAAGTTTGAATTCTGAAAAAAACTCAAAATTATAAAAAAAAAAAAAGGCAAAATATTGAAAAATATAAACATTTTGAGAACAACATTAGAATTCTGAAAAAAGTCAACATTAAAAAAAAGGTTTCAAAATTATTAGAAAAATGTCAAAATCTCAAAAATAAAGAAAAGTTAAAATTCTGAGAAAAAAAACAAATATTTTGTAGTTTTTTCAGTATTTTGAAATGTCTCTCAGAATTTTGATTTTTACTAGATCATGTCACATTTCTGAGAGACATTTCTAAATTTTGAAAAATGTACAAAATGTTAAGAATAACGTTAGAATTCCGAAAAATTTCAAAATTCAAAAAAGATGTGAAAAATATGAGAAAAAAACAAAATGATGAGAAATGTCTGAACTGAGACAAAAGTCCAAATTCTGAATTTGACAAAAATGTTTCGCAGATTTCTAAAATCAATCTCACAACTAAAACAATTTCCCTGATACTCTTCCGTGTCAATAAAATAAAAACCTGTACTATATATAAAGATAGAAAGGAATAATTGTAGCAGAGTTTTGGGTGAAGCTGGGGATCTTTCTGCTTCTTCATGAATCTGATGCTCTGCTGCAGGAGCTGGTGACCTTCACTCACAGCTGTAAGAAGTGTCTGACCAACATCGAGAGGAACCACCAGAACATCCAGAAGATTCTGAGCAGCAGCAGCACCTTGGAGCACCTGGACCTGAACCTGCTGCAGAAGAGAGTGGCCGACCTGCAGGCCTCCTCCCAGGTACTTCCTGTTTATACTCACTTCCTGTGTACCTGTTCAGGTGACCTGTCTATACTCAGGTACACAACTTCCTGTGTACCTGTTCAGGTGACCTGTCTATACTCAGGTACACAACTTCCTGTGTACCTGTTCAGGTGACCTGTCTATACTCAGGTACACAACTTCCTGTGTGCCTGTTCAGGTGACCTGTCTATACTCAGGTACACAACTTCCTGTGTACCTGTTCAGGTGACCTGTCTATACTCAGGTACACAACTTCCTGTGTACCTGTTCAGGTGACCTGTCTATACTCAGGTACGTTAACGTCCAGGTGACCTGTCTATACTCAGGTACGTTAACGTCCAGGTGACCTGTCTATACTCAGGTACGTTGACCTGTCTATGCTCAGGTACGTTAACGTCCAGGTGACCTGTCTATACTCAGGTACGTTAACGTCCAGGTGACCTGTCTATGCTCAGGTACGTTAACGTCCAGGTGACCTGTCTATGCTCAGGTACGTTAACGTCCAGGTGACCTGTCTATACTCAGGTACGTTAACGTCCAGGTGACCTGTCTATACTCAGGTACACAACTTCCTGTGTACCTGTTCAGGTGACCTGTCTATACTCAGGTACACAACTT